CAAACAAAAAATAAATAAAAAAATCAGGCATCTATGCCTTTTAGCACAATAGTTTATGGCAAAGGTGGGTTGATGCCGGTGGCATCCTCAAGCTAGGAATTGACCTAGTACCTTTTGTTTTGACCAAAGTACTACTGAAATGAAAAAAATAAAAAAAGAAAGAAAAACCTATCATAATGTGAAATGAGCAATATAAGGATTGACCTAGGGGTGACAAAATCAGCCCATGAAGTATAACCTTGCCCAAATTTGGGCGGGTTGGGCTGTATATATTTTCATGGGTTGCATTGTGCATATTTTCATGGGCTAATTTTACCTCCCTAGGTCAATTTATATACTCTTTTCATGGCCAGGTCAATTTGGTTACAACCCAAGTTAAATATGTAGCCCAAATTGACCCATTGGAGAACTTGTCAAAATATTAAATTTTTTTTTTCTTGTTAGATATAGCTGTAATAGAAAACTTACTTTTATTAGTTTGGGCTAGCGACAAATCATTCTTTAGCGCATCTTGACCCAGCTCATCTCACCCCAAGTAACGGGTCCAATTTATTGATTCAAACCCATTTTGTCTCACTCAAATTCAGCCCAATCAGTCCATCTCACATGGTTTTCACTCATTTCATTGACCGCTTGGCACACCCTTGGGTGCTTAGCTAGTTATACTTGTCAAGTGAGCATCTGGGCGCACGACTTGGGCCTACATAAAACCGTTGTCTAACGATGAAGTGCTCAAACTACATTACACTTACCTTCAAGGTTTAAGTTTCCTCCACCAGACTTTTAACAACATTGTGGCATGTACCATATCTCTGCACCCATGTCCAAAGTTTTATCCTCGACTACTTTGTCAATTTCACGGTCTAGGCAAATCCAACACCTTTCATGCTTGGATTTGACATCTCAACTGTCATCTATGTTGGTTTACAGTAAAAGCAGTAATGGAACTAAAACCTGCTGTAGTGACTATGCATGTCAGTTTTAAACTTGGTCTTTGCGTAATCTTACTGTTACCTAAAAGACATCATAGAGATCTTATGTTTCTTTCTAGTCTTACCATTCAACAATGTCTTACAACACACTTTCACATGTTTCGCCGCATTGTCATTATTACCTTATTCTTCCTAAATGACATCTTTTGTGGTGAGTATATTGCATTTGATCCTTATTTTTTAAGCTTTCTCGATTGTGCATGTGCAATTAGCCCCTCTGCTTTGCCTTTTTTACTACTGTATAATCACTGGTTGTGGCTCTCGATGTTCATTCTACTTGTCTCATGACTTTGGTATTTTTCCTTGATTTTGTCATCTCACATAATATACTAAAAAGGTTGAAATTTACGTAAGTATGCTCGTGCGCTGTTCCAGAGTACACTACATGAGGCTGCTCTTATATTTTCGATTGTACATTTGGTGCAGGCGGAATCAGTGGATAGTTTTCTACAACCATTGGGTCTTGAGAAGTATGCAATTACATTTCAAGCTGAAGAAGTATGTAAATTATTGCTGCTCATTCTCTTTTTAATTTAGTTTTTAAGTGCTGCAAAAAATTACCTTCTCCCTGTGCTTTTCCTGCAGGTTGATATGACTGCTCTTGTGCACATGACAGATGAAGATCTTAAAGCTATGGGAATACCAATGGTAAGTATCGTGATTTTGTATGAGAATTCTTTTGAAGATTGTGACTTCCTGTTTTTCATTCTCTTCTTAGTTATTTTGCTTATGAATGGGAGAGAAATCATAATGGAAAAGCATCAAATTAGTCGGTGTTGAGTCACATCTGGATCATTTGTCTTCGTATATGGTTTTGGGCAATCCTCATCTCTTGAGCTAGCTTTTGGGTTGGGTTAGGCCCAACGTCCATTTTCTTAACATGGTATTATAGCGCAGGTTCATCCCAATTCATTGTTTACCTATGTTGGGCCCCATCTTATATTGTCCACTCTCCAAATGTCTAGTCTTGGCGTGCGGGGTGTTGAGTCCCACATAAGTTGGGAATTAAGAAATGGGTCGTCTTGGACAATCCTCACCTCATGAGCTAGCTTTTGGGATTGAGTTAGACTCAATGTCCATTTTCTTAAAATGTATTAGAGCCAGCTCTTCATGATTTACCCGACGTTGGACCTCATCTTATAATATTCACGTTCCAAATGTCCAGTCCTAAGCGTGCAAAGGTATTGAGTTTCACATCGTTGGGAGCTTGGATCATTTGTTTCTTTATATGGTTTTGGGCAATCCTCACCTATAAATCTAGCTTTTGTGGTTGAGTTAGTCTCAATGTCCATTTTCTTATAGTAGGCATTGTTTGTCATAAGAAGAGAAATTTTACTATAAATGTTTCTAGAGAATTGTTTTTTTTTGGGTTTCACAATCTTGAAAATCACGTTGATTCGAGAGATTAGACTTTTCAGTGCTTACGGCCAAAGGATTCTTGAGTAGCACATCTTTGGATACAAATTTCAAAGTAAACCCTGACCACATGCTGATAGCTTGGACTTTCAGCCGAGATCATTCAGCTGATACAATTATACAAATTTCAAACTTCTATAACCATTTGTTCCGTCCATTTCTTTGTTTTGAAGCTACTTTAGTGATCTTTTTTTTGTCATCTTTAGGAGAAATCAAATGAACAATGATAGCGTTGAAACTATGTTAGTGAAATGATATGGATAGCATAGTGTCATTTATTCCATGCTGATTGAAAGCTTTGTCCCTTTTGGTTGTTTCAGGGTCCGAGGAAGAAGATAATATTAGCACTGGAGACTAGAGTCTGATAATTTTGGGTTGCATCTTCCTTGCTGGCTTGGGTTTATTCATTGGTCTGCCATCCAACAAGTCAGCAGGCTTGTGGTTTAACTGTACAAGTCTGTTTCTGATATTTATTTCTTATAATTTTTGGTTTTATCAAGTCGGCGTGGTTAACAAGAGCTCGCAGTGTATCAGTACTACAACATTTAATGGTGGGCTGAGCCCTTAAGGGCATATAATTTAATGGCTTTTTGGTTGCTTGTCATGTTACTTTCGGATGCCAAATTTTTGCTGCTTTGTCCAGCATCTAGTTCTCTATACTTTCAATTCATTACAACTGTTATTATTTGTCCACTTCTCATGACGATAAATCAAGGAGAGACCATGCTTCATTAACGGTGAAGTCTGCCTTTTTTTACTCGCTGGAAAGGTCAATTTGTTCGACGGTAGTCCCAACCTGTACCGTCATAATATTCTCTAATATTTTATTACTAATCTGTGCTTGCCGTTGTCAATGGTGAACACAGTGTGTAAGCTCCAATTCGTTTGTAATTTTCCTCTGACCTAAAAATATTAAATGGGGAGATTGGTGTACTTGTTCTTTCATAGCAAAAATCCACTTATTTAACTTCTAAAAATAAAGCCAGAATGATTTCTTTCTGCACCATCACTATGGCAGAGAACGTGGATAGCTGATGTCTTATCTCAGAGATACAAGTTTAGCCATGAAAAATGAGCCTGCACAAAGCAAACTTTGCACTGCAATACATGGCACTAAGCTAGCACCAAAATAGATGATACCCGTGACTGTATCTAATCATTGTGAAACCTTTTGTACAAAATCTTCAGGCTGTCGTACCTATCTCAACTATGGATCCAAAACTTCTCCAGAACTTGTACACTACCATAGGAGTCATTTCCAGTCAAACCTCAACCTTTTTAATGTGGCCGCCTTTGCATTTGTCCATTTCATACCAGTTTTTGTTCTTCTACTCTTCAAGATTTGGATGCAAGCCAGCTGAAGTTGATCTGTAACTCCAACATGCTATTCAAGTTTGGCTTTCCATGCAAGGTACTTTCTGTTTTCTACTTTATATCTTCTCCATTCTCTAATGACTGCAAGAAGCACATGCAGTGAAACTGGCAGAAAGAATGGCTGCAGAACAGAATAAAACACAAGTATAAACATTTATTTCCTCCATCCAGACTAATCTCCTTGTTGGACTAAATAATGGAATGACAATAAAATGCAAACTATCAATTACTATTTCGTAGAGAAAGAATGCTGATGCCCTAGTTGCTTTTTCAAAGGAAAGAAACAGAAGTGGTACTGAGAATTGCAAAATGAGTCTGATGCAGCATTTCTCATTGGAAATTATATCAATGCAAACAGCAAGTAAAACACAACAACTTATTATGATGCTTCCCAGGATAAATTGGGAATCGACTTGCAGAAGGTATATAAGAGTTCAGTTTTTCAGATTTTTCACTATGGCGACGCAGATGGAGCGCCTAAAGATAATTGCAAGTTAGAATTTTAATATTCAATTAAAAGAGTATAGAGGCAAGCTATGTGTTCACAAGCCATTCACAGATTATAGACATGATCCGAAATATTTCTTCAGATCAAGGATACATATAAAAATCCTTCTTATCACATCCCTCTCTTCAGCAGTCAACACACATTAAAAGTTACTTCCAAAAGGGTCGTGCTTTTAATAATTGCAATGAGAAATAGCCAATTGAGTGGTGATATGTTGGTTGTCTTTGTTGTGTTGAGTGTAGACATAATCAAAACAGAAGACATGCAGAAGCATTGTCTGCTTCACGTGCACTTAAGCCCTACTAAATTGTATATTTAATTGTAGACGATTAACCTATGAAGATGAACACTGAGCCAATGAAAGTGGGGTTGTATAGTTGTTTGTTAACAGGTATAACCTACTAAAAGCAAATGAATGCCGAGTTATATTATATTTCAGTGTCATGAAGCATACCGAATACACAGCAAAACAGTGCTCAAATGAGTAGTAGCTCACGGACATCATTGATGGATGATAGAAGGCATCCTCTGCTAAGGCTCTTGCTTTTCTTGAGGAAACTGATAATAAAGGGAACAATTTTTAGTTTTTTTTTTTTAAAGAGAAGTCCATAAAATAATTACAAGTTGAAGTCATGTTGTATTACTAATGCAAAGGTGAAGGTAGCATACCAGCAGAAGCATCAGAATATCCTAAAGACACATTGCTTAGGGATAATTTTGCAGCTTCAAGAGAATATTTTACCTGCTCAATTACTCAGAATTGTGAGTGCTGAGAATTCACCAATAAGTTAAACCAAAATCCACAACACATAGCAGACATCTTTTCTTCGGAAAAGAAAATCCATTTTAGTTTCATTAACTCAGGAGAAAGCTAGATAAATAATTAGGGGTCAAATAAATATTTCATATGGGAAACAAGAAGTTACATTTAAATTTCGAAATTAGATATTTACAACTGAAAGTATGAAGCTACTAAAAAGTCATGGATTGAAACTCTAACCTGTTTCCCTATTTCATCCATGATGATCATCCTGGGAAGGGATTGAACCTGGATAGAGAAAATTGTCAAAACCAAGTATAAAGTACGCAAAAAGGGCTAGCAGCTGATGACCTACCAATCGAGAGAGAGATCCAAGGGTGGTGCCACACTGAAGAAGATTGAAGCATGTGTGATGCCTAGATAACACATCCAACTCCCTAAAACAAGAGTTTTTAGAATACGTATCATCAAATACATGTCCACAGGATATGTACATCTAAATAAAAAGCAAGTTAAACTAAAAGTGTCATCGTCGAAATCAAACAATTGTTTTGCAAACAGACATTTATATAAAACACATACTGACATTTGCAAAGAAAAAAAAAGGATTACACAAGTGGTCAATATCCGAATGATTTCTAAGAACCAAAATATGCAACTAGGAGATTCTGAGACAAAACGAGGAAAGGCTGATTCTTTTTGCGACTTGATACACTATTATCCAATAGAACATGAAAATGGGAATGTTTCTTATCATATATGAATCTACTTAGATCAGTGGTTTAGTTTTATTTAAGCAAGCATGCAATATCTTTAAGCTGTTTCATCCATTCCATCTTTTTCATCCTAACCAGTATCTTACCATTCTGCAAAGCCTTTTGCACTGGTTAAAAGTACAGATGTGGCAAATGCACCAACATAATGGTTCTCAGACTTTAGACCAAATAGCTGGCGCAGCTGTCCCATGAAAACTTCAGATATCTTCTTCAAGTCCTGTTTCAGGACATGCATTTCTCAGTCTTAAGTTGTTAAAAACCATCCAAAAGAAACAAAGACATGGACATGATCCTACTGCTTTCTTTATTTAAAGTATAAAGGGCTTCATTCTTGGCCGTTCAAGTAGAGACTATACCATAGAATGTAAAAAGTTGCCGTATATCCTTTTTATATCAGATAAACACACAAAATAATAACTCAAAAGGAAAGAAATATGAGACAGGGAAGCATCATTATAGAAATTGGCAGTGCCACTAATCATTTGATGAGAATTATCTGTATCTCACTTTCTCATTTTAGATTCATGATCCAGGTAAACGTATCATGTAAAATTCACACATGTAGACAAACACAAATAAGTAACATATGCATAAATGCCTATGCAAGCTACATCAACACGCCTACATGCTCAGGTAGCCAAAACAACAACGATTTAAAGTGGAATAGAATACATGATTGTAGGTGCAGAAGACACTTCAGTAACAACACAGCAAATTAAAATTCATGTGAAGAATGCATAGAAATATGTAAAGCATAGCAACACTCCTCTTCCTTTTCAGAAAGTGAAAAGCAGAAGACCTCAAAGTAAAAGGTCTCTATACTTGTGAACAAAAAAGATCTCCACGTAAAAGTTTATCTTACTTCTCAAAAAAAAAGGAGATTCAAAGTAAAAGATTCTCATGTCGAGGAACTGTATATCCTTAAACTTTTCTCAATGAGGCTCATTCTTCTCGACTTTTTAACTGTTAGACACCATAAAGAGAGGCTTCTTACCTCAGAGGAAATTTTGTGCTTGGGAAGATGTTGAATTTGTAAATTCTCTGAACAGGCCGGTGGATTCCAGACAATAATACCTCCCCACATCTGGAATCGACTGTATTAGACCGCATGATATATGAAATGGCTAACAGAGTCTTAAACATGTCTACAATAAATTTGATACTCACTGGAGATATAAAGCCATTTGTCATGGATATCTCTCCATTTGGAAACTGCAACTTTAGAGGGCACTCTTTTGCAGATGGCACATATCTGGCATTGAGAAAGCAAGCCAAAATGTCACTATATAATGCTGAATTTAACCAGCTTAAATTTGAAAGAACAAACAGTTAATGTGACTGGGTTTTGCAATACATAGTGCTCAAGCATCTCATTTTCTTCTTTTTCAGCATACATATAAGAGGTTTGACCTTAATCAGTAGCGTTGCACAAGATTTGGCAGAAAAATTTCCTCAAAGACTTATCAGATGCAGAGCACAGTGCTGTTTCTCTGCCTATACAAGTTTATTCAAGTCAACAAGTTCCGTTGAAAAAAAAGGGGGAAAATACTTTAGCAAGTAAATGCTAATGATATTCCACATACTATAATGTCAGTCCATGCATATTAATATCAGTGCAAAAGCTCCTGCATGTTATTCATTGAATGATATATCCACTAAGAAAAAGGGGTAATGAAATCAAAAGCATACAGCACAAAATGCAGGACTTTTGACCGCCCTCCAGCTGCTGTTGAAGTATCCAAGTGCCATTCATTTGAATTTACCTACAAAAACTCAGATAATATACAAATTAGAATAATATTTGAATTTCTGTCCTTTTATTTGGATTTTTTTTGTGGCTAATCCATCATGTTGACCATCAATAAGAATATCAGATTCATAGTAATTGCGTTAACTTACAAAGAAAGGAAGATCTTTTGTACTGAAAATATAGCTACCCTGCTTGTCATCCCAATACGAGTATGAAACCTTTGGAGTATGATACAGAACCTGCATACAAAAGAGCTCAATAAGTATAAGTTCAAAGGAACCAAAGAAAAGACAGACTTTAAGTGATATAAGAATATAAAGGCTAGACAGCTAACCTGGCTTTCCACACTAATATCAGCCACTGGTCTTAAAGCATCGACAACAGGAGCCAGCAGAATCTCATCTAACTCCTGAAAATCCCTGCAGATAGATGATAATATTTTAGACAGGGACGGCTGTAGGCTTTAAGATTTGGGTTCAGTAGAACCCAATAGCTTTGGCCTACACAAATTATATTCAGAACCCAGTTGTGCACTTGAGATCATTGTCCTAGAATCTACAGCCCATAAAATTCAAATCCTGATCCGCCTCTGATTTTAGATGAGTAAAGAGATACTAATATATTTGATTGGGTATTAGTTCAAACAAGGATAAACATACATTTGTGAAATATGAACTTTAGCTACCCAAGTAGGCTACAAACACATTAATCAATACACACTACATTTTAATTCATAGAAGTAACAGAAACACTGTACAATGACACGAAGAAAAACAATTACTGGCAATGAGACACAATGTCATAAGTAAATTAGGATCTAGCTAAAAAAGAGAGAGCGGGGAGATTACCAGTCATAAACCCAATCATGCGGATCAGAATTCAAAAGACTGAATGAAAGCACGACCTTGCCATCTGCACCTACTGGCATGAATTCCCCACGAATTGATCCTTCTTCCTTCCCACCATTCACAAACACTTTGACAAAAATCTCCGCCATCTTCTCAACAGCTTTCTCCACAGAATCTTTTCCTACAATCCAAGCATGCCTATATTTTCCAACAACAACTCTCATCTCCTCCTCATCCGCATTCCTCTTCACCACCACAACCGTATAAAGTTTCCTATTCTTACTATCCAACACAGACTCCAAATACTCATCAAAATCCTCGTCATCGTTCAGCTTATCAAATCCATTCAACGCTCCGCATTGCCATTTACCTACATTTTCCCTTTCACTATGAATACAGTTGGAACTGGAATCAACTGTTACTGCCACGGTATAATTGTTTCCGCACGTGCCACAAGCTGGAGTAATTTTCGTAGTCAACTTTTGCATATTAGAATTGATCAAAAGCCCTAGCTCATTTATATCAGTAATGTCATCGAAGTTTATAAAAACTGCTCGAAATTGGCAAGGATATTGCAATGGATTCTTCTCCATTGCTGATGATAGTAAATCGATGTCTTCAAATGGCAATGGCGCTCGGTAAATTTCGATTGATTTTAGTAAGAAAGGCAAAGCTGTATTATACATGAGAAATAGAAGAAAAAATTGTTACTAGTTTTGAAAATGAAGTTTAAATATAACAAAAAAGGATATGTAAGAGTGTTAGGGTTACCGATGAGGAAAGAGAAGAAGACGGTGAGAGTGAGAAATAGACGCTTCAATCCAGGCTTAGTTTTACGCATGGTTTTAGGGTCGAAATCTGATGCCTCTTCCGACATAGTGTTAGGTGGATCAGAGGAGGAAGTTGGCGCTTCGGAGATCTCCGCCATGGTTGAATCCTTAGGAGCTCCCTCAACCGGCATCACAGTGTAAATATGGCGAAGAAGAAAAGTGAGGAAAGATTTTACTTATTAGTTGTAGCAAAATGTTGTAATTGTCATATCAATGTGCCGTCTTAGCTCAGCTGGTAGAGCGCATGGCTTTTAACCATGTGGTCGTGGGTTCGATTCCCACAGACGGCGTTTTCTCCTATGGCCTTTCAACCTTTTATTCGTTTTTTGTTTCGGGAAACAATTATATTTGGATTCTCCTTTCACTTGTTGTACCGGTGGATTTAATTTTGGAAAAGAATAATTGGTTTTAGAAAGTTCTTGTGTTTAGATTTGGATAAAGATTATTGATACAGTATCAGTCATTCAGTATCACTAAAATATTTAAACGTGAAAAACGCATGCAGTTTCAGAAGTATTTGTTCTGAAAATTTGTGATGTTAAGGTTTAAATATAATCTTTTAAAGGAATTTCGAGGTATATAGGCTAAAAAAGGATCCCAACTAATTTGGGACTGAGACACAGTTGTTGTATGTTTCCCTCCAACACGCTTACCTGCTTATACAGGCAGTTGTAGCAAAGACAAGGACTAAAGAGGTGAACTTAGATTCCCAGTGGGCATAAATGCGCTTAAAGAACTTGTCACCACAAGACCTCAAACCTCTCCTATTGGGATGCAGAGATAGTGCATTGATTTCTCAAATCCATGCTGTTATGGTATCATCTGGGTTGTTTTCCAGTGGAAACTCCAATGCCCAATTAATATCATCCTATGGTAGAGCGGGTGATCTTGAATCTGCCCACAAACTGTTCGGTAAAATTTCCCTAAGGAGAGTAGATTCTTGGAATGCGATGATCATTGCCTATTCGAGGAATGAGTGCCCCGTTGAGGCGGTAAATGTTTATAAACAAATGGTTCTCGAAGGGGTCAAACCTGATAGCTCAACTTTCACCGTGGCACTTAAGGCGTGTACGATTTTGCAGGATTTGGAGGAGGGTGAAGAGATTTGGGAAAAGGTGGTCGAGTGTGGTTATGAGAGTGATGTCTTTGTTGGGTCCTCTGTTTTGAACTTGTATGCAAAATGTGGTAAGATGGACAAAGCAGCAATTGTATTTGAAAAGATGCAGAAGAGGGATACTGTTTGTTGGACTACGATGATCACGGGTTATGTACAGAGTGGGAAAGGGAGAGAGGTTGTGCATTTGTATCGGAGGATGCAAAAGGAAGGCATGGTAGGTGATGGTGTTGTTATGCTGGGTTTGATGCAGGCTTGTGCTAATATTGCAGACACGAAATTGGGTTTGTCAATTCATGGTTATATGATCCGCAGAGCTCTTCCTATGGATGTGAATATGCTGACTAGCCTAGTTGATATGTATGCCAAGAATGGAGAGTTGGAGCTAGCTACTCGTGTATTTCGGAAAATGCCCTATAGGAATACTGTTTCTTGGAGTGCTTTGATTTCTGGCTTTGCTCAAAATGGCTTTGCTGCTAATGCTCTTCAGCTGTTGATAGAGATGCAAGTGTCGGGGTTCACACCTGATGTAGCTTCACTCGTAAGTGCACTTCTAGCATGTTCTCAGGTTGGCTGTTTAAAATTGGGTAGGTCGATTCATGGTTATGTTGTAAGGAAAGTCATTATGGACCAAGTCCTAAGTACTGCATTGGTTGACATGTACGCTAAATGTGGGCTCATTTCTTGTGCCCATGCCCTTTTTGACCACATCAGTTCGAAGGACTTGATATGTTGGAATACGATCATAGCGTGCTATGGGATCCATGGGCATGGAAGAGAGGCACTTAATCTTTTCCACCAGATGAAGGACAAGATAGAACCAGATCATGCAACTTTTGCTGCTCTTCTTTCAGCTTTGAGTCACTCGGGATTGGTGGTGGAAGGACGGCATTGGTTTGATGTCATGGTCAATGAATACAATATTAAACCTTCTGAGAAGCACTATGCTTGTTTGGTTGATCTTTTGTCTCGAGCTGGTGAAGTTGAAGAAGCTAAAGATATCATCATTTCTATGGAAATGAAACCTGGGCTTGCTGTTTGGGTTGCCCTTCTATCTGGTTGCCACAAGCATAAGAAGTTTTTGATTGGAGAATTGGCAGCAAATAGGGTACTTGAATTAATTCCGGAGAACACAGGTACTTTAGTATTAGTAGCAAATTTCTTTGCGGCAGCAAAAATGTGGGATAAAGCAGCTGCTGTGAGGAAGGTTATGAAAAAGGCAGGGATGAAAAAAGTGCCTGGCTACAGTGCTGTGGAGGTAAATGGAAGACTTCATGCTTTTCTTATGGGTGATACAAGTCACCCTCAATATGAACAAATAATTGGACTTCTGCGCAATCTGGAGAATGAGATGAAAGCTATGGGCTATGTGCCAAAGACTGAATTTGTGTTGCAGAATCTTGAAGAAGAGGCCAAAGTGAAAGTATTGTGTTATCATAGTGAGAGACTTGCCATTGCTTTTGGACTCTTAAACACTGCACCTGGAACCAGGTTGCTTATCACAAAGAACCTGAGGGTCTGTGGTGACTGCCATGAAGTAACAAAGTTTATCTCTGTTATAGTAAAAAGAGAGATTATTGTAAGGGATGTTAAACGATTTCATCACTTTAAGGATGGAATATGCTCCTGTGATGATTACTGGTGAATCATGTCTAGACACGCAAAGATATTTCAGGCTGTGTGACTACTGGATATAAACTAATATATGGGGAAAAGTTATTTGTTGCTGCCTTGGCCTTCAATAAGAGGCCCTTCACCTGATAGCTGTGTTATGATCTGTAGAATTTATAGACTGCTATCGTCTTGTGAGAAGCAGGATACTTTTCCCGCCTGTTCACCGTACTCCTGGAAATCTTTTAGCTGCATTAAAGATTAGGAGTCGTCTGGACTTACTTCCTAAAGTATCTCTTGTTAGTGAACTGACCCATTGCATGATGTTCGTGCACCTCTTGAGTGACCACTATTTGTCAGATTTGAATGGGATTTCAGGACATCCTATAGCTTCGATCACATTCTAACAGAGGAACCACTTCTAGCAGGAAATAAGTTGCTTCCACTTCTTCTGAGAGAGGGAAGCAAATGTTTAACAAGCTCCCAATAAGGCAGAGTGGTGTCTTGAGGACTTGACTTAGCTGCTGATTTCACTCTCATGCAAGCCCTATCAAAATGGCAAATTAAAATGCATCAGCATCAGCGGCTAACAAAAGATAGACTGCATTAAATGGATTTTATCATGGAACATCAGCGGATAACTAGCATAGTTTTTAAAGTCTGATTGCTCGCCAACTGTGAAGATTGCTTTGTATTTCTGCAGAGTTGACAGATTGATTCACTGCATGATTAATAGATGAACTGGAGTTTGCAGTTTGACCTCCAACGAAAGAGTGGGTAATTTTCTATTTTCAGTTGCAGCAACTAAAATGCAGTAAAGCACTCATGACACAGTTAATTGGGCTTACTCCTAAAGATTTCCTGCTTTTCTTCACTCTTCCATTTTTTCAGCACAGAACTAGCCAGGCATTCTAGACTTTGTCCTTGGTGGTTACTGCTACTATTGAGTCTGAGCAAGATGACTTACATTGTCAAAAGTCACAATCAAATACATTTTTATTCCTAATCTAGCTAAGTTGAGTACTCTTTTAGCATTTAGTTTTTGCTGTAATTTAATATCTTTTTCTGTGTTTGAGCAGGCAACTAAGACTTTGTATACGTTACTGGAATTTGTTGAAGCAATTAGATGGCTGCAAAGGCACCTTGCATAACTTTTATTTTGTGGAGGAGCAGAACTAGAGTTCACAACCAATTCTTGAAGTAATTGGTATGCTTGGAAAGGAACTCTCAGGGAAGAAAGAATTGTTTACAAGGGGAATGCTCTCTATCTCTTCAAGCCTATTTTGCTGGATTCTGGTTCAAATGAATTGAGAAGTTACTGAACAACTGCCTATCGTTTTTCAGTAGCCCAGATGTTCACAATGAAGAGCAAAAGATTTCTATGACAAAGCTCATGATCTAGTATGAGCCTCCAATAGCTTTTTAATCATCCATTTATTGGCTGAAGGAATGATATTTTTTCCCCTGTGAGCCAATTATGTTTGGCTGCTCTTAAAAGGACAATTGTTATTAGTTTTGGGGCCTTTTGGCCTAAGCTTCTTCGTTTCTTGGGTCTTAAACTGTGCAGATGTATGAAAAATTGAGCATATAGTTGCCCTACATACTATTAACATTATACAGTTACATTTGTTTCAAGTTGTTTAAAACACAAAGCAAAACTCATGGATAGCTTTTGCTCACATCTTTCAGATTTAACTTTCAATTGAGTTAAGAACAGAGATAACACACCTTACAAGGCATTTGGATTTTAGCAATGTCTATATCGGAAAAACAATACTACAAGATTCTCAATGATTAACAACAATTCCCAAACTCCCTTCTGCTAATTCAAGGGTCAAGGCGTACAGGCACAAAATGTTCAGTCAACACAGCCAGTTTTAGAAACGTTTCAAAATTTGAACCAATGGGTTCTGTCTATTTTCTCAACTCCGATATCCATGTGCTTGGTTCTGAAGATTTTGATTGTCTTCTAACAGACGGTCATATTCTAAAAGTAGATCTGCAGCTTGTTTTTGGAGGGCAGCAACATGAGCTTCTGCAGTTTCCACACGCTTGTCTTTCTCCTCCATCTGCAACTTAACCTTCTTCAATGACTCTGTTAAACTAGAGATTTCTTTCTGCGACTGTTTCATTTCCTCGGCAGCTTTATCTGCCTTCTCCTTAAACTGCAGCTTTTCTTTCTCAAGCCTTTCAAATTCTTTCTTTGACGATCCCGCAGAATTGCGCAATACAATCAGTTTCCGAAGGTAGTGGTGCATACGATCAATTAAGAATCCAAGAAACAGAGAAAACCCTGTGCGATAAATGTCATTCAGATGCAGATAAATTAGCATAAAAGGAAATGAATAATAACTAAATATGATGCTGAACAATTCAACATTTCAGCTGCATGCTTAAATTTAGCTACCTGAACAATTTACC